ATATATGTGTGTATATATGCAGAATTATATAGGAATATCATTCTGTCTCCTGAAATGCTCTTTGTTTTCTCTCTGTAGAGCGGAAGGGAGACGGTGGTCTCTGGCTTCACTTCCATCCTCAGGTTATGGGACCAACCCTCCCAGCTCAACCGTCTCAGTATGTGGCTCTCATGTATCTGTAATTAAGTCTTGTGTGTTCCATGAAAATAAAATGAACAGCATTTGGTTTGAAATGACATGAGGATGCATAAATAATGACAGAATGTTTGTCAGAACTTTCCATTAAATCCCTTTAATAGTAAAAGAGCAAAGGAGGAGGAAGTGTTCCTGTATGAATAAAGCTCTGTGAAACATTCTCATATTTCCGCAAACCTAGACAATAATAGTGATATGTTTAAGGATGGTTTTCAGTAAATATGGGACCGTTTTATGTTCGCTGTAGCCATGTATTTGGAGTAATGTGTTTGTTTGTTGTTTTCCAGTCATCTTCTTCATCACAAGAACGACTGCACCAGCTTCCATACCAACCCACACAGGACGAGCTTCATTTCCTGTTCAAACACTTCCGAAGTTCGGAGAGCATGACTGATGAAGATGGGCGGCCCTCCCCGTTTATACGACCCCGGTCACGTAGCCTTAGGTAAACAAAAACACACATGTACACATTAATTGCAACATAGGATGCCGCTGTTTGCATTTTATTAATATGGCTATTAGGGTTTAATCATTTAACACCCGTGAGTAGTGTTTTGTGACCTGACAGAGTTTTAATACATCTGCATTGACTCTATCAGAGCAATGACTTCGACATATTGAGCTGTGTTGTTCATGGAGGAAATTAGAGTTCAAGTCTGCCTTGCACAATTTTCTGATTCCATTTTTGTCATCTACTATTGATAATATTAGCAAAATGGCAAAAAAATAAATGGAAATAAAATGCAATGACTGTGATGTGCATAGTCAAAATAGATTTGTAATAGATATGTAATATTAAAGCAAAATTTCACCCAAAAGGTCATTATTTACTCACTCATGTTGTTTCAAACCTTTGAGTCTCTTTCTTCTACTGAACACAAAAGAACATATTTTGAATAATGTGTGTAACCATGCAGTTGTTGGTCCCCACTGACTTCCATAGTATGGAAAAAAATTTTAGGGATACACGATATTATCGGAACGTTATCGGAATCGGCTGATAAAGACTTAATGTAAACATCGACCGATTTGAAAAAAATGTATGCCTATAAGACGAATAAATCAGACACTCAGGGTGTGCTAGCGATAAGATCATGTCAGCAGTGTGGTCATTCTTGAAGCAAACTTTTTTACTGGATGGTGATTAGATTCATTATTTTGGATAGCCGCATTTAATTTGAGAATGTACAGAATGCGATGTCCAGTGTGCGATAGAGTAAACAGTTACTAGTACCTGTAGTAGCAGCAGCGGCAGCCTCCCCCAGGTCCTAATGCCCGTCTGGTAAGATGTTTTATTTAAGGGGTTCTGTAGGCCTGCTTTTAATAAAATGAAAAGTAAAATACACTAATAACATTTCAGTCAGGACCACTCTGTTTGATTAAGATTATTATAGAGGTCCTGAACATTATTTTGGCGGCAGGCTTTGCTCTGAAGGGTTCAGATTCTGAGCTGTCCACAAGCAAACCTCACTGAGGTTTGAAACCCCCGAAGCCTAATGCAAGTACCCAAATATTTTATATCCAACAGGTATAAAATTCCATGCAGGAGTAATACAGGTCTGTAAATGAGCTGTAAATCTAGCTGATAGATGATTTCTATGGACAAGATGCTAAGTGATCATGCTCCTGTATAAGGAGGAGTTGGGGATGGAGGAGGGTAAGCGCATGTTTATGCGACAAACTAAGGCAAGTGTGAGTACAGATGAACTTGTATATCGTATTAAATTGTAGTGGGAGGAGTTTCAATCAGCTGAGCGTCAGCTGATGCTGGCTGTCACGCTGTGGTCTGCCTGAACTACGCTTGAGCTCCATTCATCACTCAAACTACATTAAGATACTTGTGTTTCTGTATAAATGAAGCAGTAATGACATAAAATCACGAGTCTGTTTTGATTTAAAGGTCAGAAGCTATAGCTTACATGATTAAAAATCACAAACATGACACTTGTTAATTATTCCGTAATATGTAATATATATTTTTCAAATGGATTGAAAACTTGAATACAAGGAGCTCTAAAAGAGTTTTAGATTTTTTTTACAGCTCTTTTGTATTAGACCATCTATTAATGTTAAATCCACAAATAAAATGTTAAGGTTTCAACTGCATATGTCAAAAAAATAAAAAAAAAGAATAAATATTGTGCATCCCTAATGGGAATCAGTTGTATCCAGAAACTGTTTGGCTTTGTGTTCAGCAGAAGAAAGAAATTCATACAGATATAGAACAGCTTGAGGATGAGTGAATAATGAAATAATTTTCATTTTTGGGTGAACTGTCCCCTTTAAAGGCCACTTTTTGGTATTTCTTTGGTGCCTTTGCACCCTTTTTTTGAAGCTTGAAAGCCCAAATCGTAACTGTATGAAAAAGAACAACCAGAAAGAAAGTCATATAGGTTTGAAATGACTTGAGGATGAGGAAATCATGACACATTTTTCCCTTCTTGTCAGATGAGTGGATTCCTGACTAATAGGAATATCCAGGGTTTCCCCGTCAAAACAAAAGGAGCATTTTTGTTTTGCAAAAGAACCTCCCTCGAGGCTGAGTCATTGAAGAGACAGATTTTACTGTGGTGTAATTGAACACTGGGGTTTGAAATTGGCATCTGACCAGTTGATATGTGAGAGGATGAGTCTGAAGTAGAAACTAAAATCAAATTAGGTTTTTTTTGTGTTTATGAGGCTACAGACTGCAGTGCAACACCTCACCTTTAGCCCACAGCTCTGCAGGATTCAGAGCAGTGTTGCCAAGTCCGTGGTTTTCCCGCGGAATTGGGCTACTTTAACACTGTTGCCACGGGTTGTTTTTCATGTCCGCGGGTTGAAGCGACCCCAATAACATGATATTTAGCCCCTAAAATGTTAATTTTACCAGGGGAACCCTGCCAAAAAAAACGTGTATTTTATCCCCCGGAATGCCATTTTTATCAGAGGACCCCCCCTCGAAACTCGATTGGGCTAGTTTGAGTAGCAATTGGGCAGATTTTGTTGTGAAAACCTGGCAACCCTGATTTAGAGGTTTAGATGTCCACCCACAATGCTTCATGCTTCAAACAGTGCGCTCGCGCAAACAAAACACTGCTCGCTTGGTTTTTGAAATAAAAGAGGTTTAGTTGGTATGTTTGTCAGTAAAGTATTTAACCGTCAATCTACATGATGGCAGTTTTTATTAGTGATGCAATAGAATATTTTCTGCCGAAACAGCCATTTTTGGTTTCGAGCCGAAATAGTTTTGAAGGGCCAGAATCATTGAATGGACCAGTGACGTTCAGGGTTCGTACGGTCATGAAAAACCTAGAAACGTCATGGAATTTTAAAACTGCAATTTCCAGGTCTGGAGTAGTTTTGGAAAAATGTATAAACCCAGAACGTTTTGGAAAAGTCATGGAAATTTATTTCACAAATCTCTGTGCAATAGAATATATTTTTTAATCAGGTCCTGAATTTCGGTGTGGTATCGTGCATATATTGGCTAGTTTTACTCATTTCCGCAGGTTTCGCATTTAGAATGCGGGAAAACCCCGCAAACATTTATTTAATATAGCATGTAGGTTAGATGTAAATAAATCCACACAGAATATTGTATTGAATCAGTCATATGAAAACAGCATGAGTGATTCAGCGGTACCGCATCTTCTCTCTCTTTCACTCTCTCAAAACGGCTTCACATCAGCGCCTCTCACCTGCACTGCAAGAGCCGCTGCACGCTGCGATAAGAGATTTTAGCTCACGTTTTGGGACAGTTGACAGAATTGTCACTTGCCTGATCTTTTTAAGTCCTTTTAAAGCATTGGTTAGTCGCATGCTCCAGATGGTTTTCTGTGCGCTCACAGTCGCATCCAAAGCCCGCGCACATAAAGCCGCCTCGAAAACACCTTGCGAGTACCAAATTGAGTTATTTTTTTCGCTGCTTATTGCTCTTAACCGGCCAAATACACAAATTATGTAAAAATGCCCGTCCTGGCGAGTATCCTCATAAACACAGTCGGTTTTGTCTTAAGTGAATGTAAGCAGTTGTTGAGAAAGAAAACCGTTGTGTATCAGTATATTGGATACATGCAGTGGGTCTTAAAGGGACAGCAGTTGTGCCTTCTGTCATTAACTTTTGTAACTTTAATTTTAAGGATTAATCTGTTTTTAATTTACAGTTTATTTAATTTCTGTACCTGAATGCTACTTGTTAGACCTAAACGGTTTCCTAAATGAAATTCAGGTCCTGAGTTTATTTGATAATATTGGTTAAATAAGTTATAATATTCAGTGATGGGATGTGTTCTCTGTGTGGAGTAACCTCTGGCACAGTCGTAGCTTGTACTTATTATTAAAACAAATAGAAAGCAAATAAGTAGCATTAATAGTCATTAATTTTAGTTAACATATGCTATGATAAATTTGAACATAGATTTTTCTTATTTTAAATGTATTCTTGTAAAATAATGGAACATTAGGAAAAACAAAAAAAAAAAAAGATCAATCACTGCTCTTGACTAAATAACTTTTGTAATTTATATTTTATGGATTAATCTTTTTAATTTACAGTTTAGTTGATAATATTGGTTAAATCAAGTATAATATTCAGTGATGTGATATGTTCTCTGCGTGGAGTAACATCTTGCACAGTCGTAGCTTGTACTTATTATTAAAACAAATAGAAAGTAAATAAGTAGCATTAATAGTCATTAATTTTAGTTAACATATGCTATGATAAATTTGAACATAGATTTTTCTTATTTTAAATGTATTCTTGTAAAATAATGGAACATTAGGTCATGAATATTGTCTCAAACGTCATGGAAAAGTCATGGCAATTTATTGATAAAAATGTGTACGAACCCTGGGAGTTTAATTAGCATTTCTCTGTATTTTGATCGTGTCAGTGTCCATTTCAGCATGGATAAACTACCCCAGGTAAACATGTTAGCTGTGTGGATTAGGGCTGTCGCGATTCTTCGATTTTATTAGACTATTAGATTTTTAAAAATCCTTTTAAAAATCTTTTTTTTTTTTTACAACTTCAAAACGAGAATCCATAAAACACATTATTAGACTGTTTCCCAAGGCTGCATGATATATTAAACCAATACAAAGAGATATTCTTTATAAAAGTTAAGCGTCAGCCACACCTACCTAAAATGGCTCGTTCTAACACGCCCCCAACATACCTACATCACTATCTGGGAAGATTTGCATAACAACACCCAAATGTTCACGCAAAAAAGAAGGCGTAACTTTCATTCTCGCTGTAGTATTGTTGACGCTGCAGCCATGTCGTGAAGACGCT